CATCCCCTACTATGCTGCACGTTCGATAACACTGTTATTTAGTCGACCGAGACTGGGTCCGATCGAACGCATTAACAAAACTCGACCAAAAATTGAAAAACTCATCAGCAAAATAGACACATAACCTGACATTTAGATTTTTCACAAGTTTTGTTCCCATAGAATCCCACTTCTATGTATAGATCTGCTGCTGAACGTCGTTTTCTGTACACCTTGTTTTATTTTTACGCGATTTCCGTTGGTCCAGTGGCAATATAATGCAACTGGCAACAAAATTTCCGTCTCAAAACAATTTTGAAAAATATTTTTCACACAACGCCAATATAATACATATGTATATAATAATTAATATATAAATATAATTCGTGAGTGAAATGTGACCTTAATAGCAAATACATATAATAGAATAATATATATGTTATGGGAATCATTATTCTATTGTATATATTTGAACGAAACTGTCGCTATTAACGTCATATTTGACACACAGGAATTATATTTATAAAATAATGGAAATTACTTTAATGCAGCTACATAATAAATCACATTAGAATTTAGTTAAGGATTCTGCGTTCAATTTTTGTACGATTCAATCGTTATTTGGGTGTTTGATTTTTATTTGGAATCGAGTACAAAAAGAAACGTATCAACGAACGAAACGTTGCATTAAAATGATTATTTTTAAACGGCAAAGAAATTCGATTGTCGGTCCCAATCTCGATCGACTAGACGATACACAATCGCGAACAAAATGATCACGAAGGCAGGTGCAATAATGGAGTCCCTTTTCCGGCGAATTACTTTTGTCTTCGATTCGTGTACGCGTGTGTAGGAGTGTATTCGATAACAAAGCGTTTTTGTAAATATGTATACAGGTATGTATATGTATATAAATACGCGAGACGTGAACGTCCCCGAATGGTTTTTGTTCGCTGACTAGCTAGCTACTTCGTTGGCTCGCTACCGCGTGGATTCGGCTCGAATTCGATGTTGCGTATCGAAATCAAAAGCAACGAACAACGAACGACTAGCTTTACAATGCAGTTTGTCGGCTGCTGGATCCACAGGGCGATCTATTTTGATCTCGGAACAGATAAAACCTCGCTGGACCGCGAACGTTCGCGTAAAACCGCATTTTTATGAGCGAATTCACGGAAAGTGATATTAAATGGAATTCTGTTTATGAATGTGGAAAACTGGACAAAATAAAGTAACATTTATTTCGTCGCCTTTTATGATAGTGCTAGAAATGTAAAAGAAAACTCGTCTAACGTCTGAATTACGGATCTTTGTGTAAAATGAAAATTGTTTACATCGATTGCAAGCAGCAAAAGCAAAATAGAAATTGGTACCTATATTTGACGATTTTAATAAAGTTATAGTTTTCTTGAATTCCTTTTTTATATTTTGCCCATTCATTTTCGTCAAGAATTAAAAAAACCTGCCGCCTCGTGATAAACGATTATCGTCCAGAGGATTTACAATGGAGAAAACTGATTAGTTTACTAATACGTGTATAATTCAGAGTTATTTCTCAAGGGAAACAAAGTTCTTAAATTGATTAGTAAATTTTTCTAACTGTAACGAATGACGTTGCGCGTCGAAAAATTGAAAAATTTCCGGAAATAAAGCTTTCAACGCTGAAATTGCAGATTTATATTTTGATCGGGTGATTCTTCAATTATGAATGCTTGCATAAGAATGGAATTGGCATAATAAAGTAACGCATTAAAGTGAGAGAATCGTTGGCGAAATAGAAAGGAGAATAGAAAGTTGCCAAGAAACGATAACAAACACGAATGACTAGTTAATTCGTCTTCGGTGGTTAACAGTCTAAAAATGAAATTGCCGAAACTATCGAAGAAAGCGCAGTAGTTAGCATTATTTACTCTGCGATACTGTTTTGACTCACTTATGGCGCACGTGAACATACACGATAAAAGAAAACTTGAGCAAAGTTCTATGTAACATGTACATACATTCTCAAATCCGATCAAATTCTCAAAGAGAAAATCGCGCGTAAGCGAAACCAGTGAAATATTTCCTTACCTTCGCGCCGACCTCCAAAACATCAAAAATTCTCTCCGAAATTCCAGCGTCCGCTTTCTGGAGAGTTTGAACCCCGAATCGTTCAAAATCAAAATTGACCGCCCAGAAGGAGCTCCCACACCGAACTAACGCTAAACTTTCGCGTGCTTTCGAAGCAAGTAAAGTTCTACGGTGTCCCGATCGTAAGCATGACCGCGACCAATTAATTATCGGAGTCGAACATTCCAGAGATTTCGACTCTCGATCCACGATCACGCGTGCCCCGGTACATCATCGTGTCCCGCTACGGTACAAACTCGCAAAAACTCGATAAGCTCATGAAGCATCGTAACTAGACTGCGCATCATTATGTAAATACAAAGTCTGACAGACGAACAGAATCGAATGAAGCGCCTTTCGATGCGAAGACGAAGGCTACGCTGGATTATTTGGAACACTTCTCTGTGCTGATCTTCGGAGAACCAAAACCGCCACTAATGCGTAAAACCCGCAGTCTAGTTACGATAGATGCTGGAGCAGGCAAGAGCAGAGATTGCCCCAGGGGCAATTGCTGAGATTATTTGAAATAAATTTTCCTTTAACGAAATTGCTGAGGGAGGCTTCGTTGGCGAGTTATTAACGAAAAACACGGACCAATCGATGAGCGAGCGTGCCCAACGCCACGCCCCCGCGACAGCAAATGCGACGTCGCAATGGTCACGGAACGCGGCAGCCGTATTCGCTCTCTGATTGGTGCGCGTTTTTCGTTGATAACTCGTTAAGGGAACCGCGAGGAACATTTTCGTTAAAGAAGAAATTTCTTCGAATGATCTCAGGAACCCTTTTTAGAGGGCTACAACATTTTTAGGCACCCTGTGTACAGCCTACCTGGCCTTGCCTGAGTTTATAGGCGGCCCTTGTGGTCGCTGTCCAAAGGTTAAAGTGCTCGTTGCCCCTGCCTGCGCAAGGCGATATCTTCTTTGAAATAAACGTGTCTCTGTTACGCGTGTAATCGTGCTTCGTCTCCTGCCCCTGCACGCTCGTCATCAGCTCCTCCATCGCCCCGGTTGAAAATCTATGCTAAGGACTAGGATAATAGGATAAATTGAACTACACGCGATCAACAAGCCAGTCTAGAGTTCATAACAAGTCTTTTGCGAACGATTACTTTCGTCGAAGCTCGATCACTCGACTCTTCCACCGTTTCGGTGCCGCGAGGGGAATAGAAAAGCTCGCTTTCTCTCTCTCTCTCTCTCTCTCTCTCTCTCTCTCTCTCTCTCTCTCTCTCTCTCTTTCTTTCTCTTTCTCTCGAAATTCGAAATCCGTCGAGAAACTTCGTCGAAATTCACGGAGGACCCCGATGCGATGCTTTTCTCGCTCCTTTTTGGTCCCTCAAGGTGAATGTGTCTTTCGAAAGGTCATTGTGTGCTTTCTCTATTTTCCAACGCGTAGCGGAAGCCGCGAACACGCGATCGTTACTGCGAAGATATAACGCGTTTGCCGTCTCGTTCGAGTGTCCACGTTATCCTATTCACAACAATCATCCCCGTCACCGGCTAACGTGTCCTCGTCGCTTCGCATCTGCTCGAAAAAAGAAAATATCATTCGACACCGATCGTGACCGCGAATCGCATACGACGCGCGAGACAGTGAACATGTTCGACGTCCTTTCTATAAAACGTTATAAAATGCGTTCGTTATAAAAGATTTTCGATGGTATGGTTTCCTGATCGTCGGCATCCGCCGTAGCTTCCGAAAACGTTCGATAACCTTCTTCCGAAATGGCGAGCCTCGTTCGATGTTTCGTCGAAAGGAGCGCTCGGCGCGAACCGAAGAACTTCTTTTTTTTTCGTTCTGAACATCGTTCGCGTTTCGTGTCAGAAAAATAGGAAAGCATAAATTCACCTTGACGGAACGTGTTCACGCTGAAGAACCGAAAAAAACTCGCAGAAAAACAACAACACGGGCGCAGCACCAAAATGGCCGAACAGCGACGAATGATCCGTTCAGCTGGGTCTCTCGTCTACGAACGCGCCCGTAGCTTGAAAACGGCGTCGCGCCTCGCCTAAACGAGAGCCTCCCTCGGATCGAGGATTTTTGAAACGTCGATCCCGAGGAGAGTTAGAATCTTTATCGTGATAGTCACGGATGGTAAAACTGCGCGACCCCTACTGTCACTAACAATAAAAGTCGCCTAACTTAAACGTAAGTGAATACGAAACGTACAAGCAAGATCTCTCTCTATTCGTATGAAGTCACGGTGGGCCCGACCTCGAAGGGAGAAGAGCCCCCCGCGGAAACGTAGATATAATATATATATATATATTAGATATAATATACTATTATATTACTAATATATAGTAGTATAATATATACTAATATATTATACTACTAATATATTAAATATAATATATATATTATAATATAGATATATTATATCTCTCTGATATAATCGACGTTCGTTATTTATTTTCGATCTCCGATGTGTCCTCGTCCGCGAAACACTTTTTTCCCTGATGCCCGACCCGCGAAATTTCATCCACCGTACGCCGTCTCCTCGTAGCTATTACAATATCATAGTTACTCTATAACTGCATAAATACTCTGTCGTCGCTAAATAATATGCGTGTAACGTATCGTTATCAACTACATGCCGGATGTTCATCAATGGCAGACGGAATCTTTACAAGTGTCGACGTTAAGCGTCGCCGATGAATCGCGTGTACAGTTAGCTACGGCTGCTCGCCGGGTACCTATAAAATCGTATTGTTCTTTAATCGCGAGTTCTCTCACTTCTGATCACGTCCCGCCGGTGTTCCGCGGTGCGTGAAAAATCTGGAACACCGTCACGTGACGAGCACGTGGGCTCAGATCGCATCGACGATCGATACTATCGCCTCGAGTCGCGATTTGCCTCTCTGCTTCGTACCACTCCCCTCCCCGCTCTCTCTCACTCTCTCTCTCTCTCTCTCTCTCTCTCTCTCTCTCTCTCTCTCTCTCTCTCTCTTTCTCTGTTTTGTTCTTTTTTTTTGCTTTTCTTTAGATAGAATTACGATACTTATAATAAAACGGTACTTAGAGCTATAGTTACTTTGGTATAGTCAGTTATATCACACTAAAGTCCGCGGTTTCTGCGGGGAATCCCCTTTCGAAGATTTGTGTTCAGAGTTCCGCCTGCAGAACCCTGCAAAAAAGTGTCCAACAAAACGATCCATCAAAAGTCGAATAGAGTTTCGTTGAAATATCGATCGACATATCGTTGACCAATAAGCGATGTCGGACTTTTTCCCTCGCGTAATCGTTTTTGAGGTTTCTCCACCGTCAGATTATTCGTGGCTTTAAAAGAACTGTGTACAGTCCGAGATTTCGGATTTTATTGCATTTCGTAATGTTTACGACAAATTAAAAATAATCGCTGAAATATTGAGAATATTGAACTTCTTCGTTAAGATCTGCGCGCACCTGTTTCTTGTTGCAAATTCCGACATTAATTTTGGTCAACCTAATGATCTTCGACTTTCTCACTAATCAATCTTATTGTATGTAGTAGCTCGGTCCATAAGTTCATGCTACGCAAACTCTCTTATTACGTCATATCTTCGACATGTTTTGCTGTACGATTAAATCCTAAATGTTTATTCTTGTTAACTCGTCTCTCCATAGTTTTCAAAAAATCAATCACTTTATTGCTCACACCGCACGAAACGAATGAGTAAACAATCGGACAACAGGAGAAAACCAAACCTATCGAATGACGTGTGAGACATAGCTGTTTGGCAATTATTGTGCGGGAAATTTAAATCGAAATTAAAGCCGCCCGAACTTATGGGCTGACCCAATAGTTTTAAAATAGAAGTATGTACCACGTTAAAAAAATAATTTGAAGAAACAATTTCGTGTGCCGATTGAAATACACAGCATGGGAAAAATAAAGACGAGAATAAACCAGTTGATTAATAGTGGAAACTGACACACGTTGTTTTTCACAGGAGAATATTTCTGGGGAACTTTCTCGTCTATGAAACTCGAGTAAAAGTCACGAAATCTAAATTTTCCTGGATCCATTCAGGTTTAGTAAAAGTGGTCCGCATCTATTCAAGAGATGATTACCTGTCATTGCTTGGCGGACTTAAACCTGGCGAGTTTCAATTGCACCGGGTTAGAAACTTTCACATGAACCGCGATGTCCTCGACAGGGGCTTCTCGAACATCCGTGCCACCCACTGCCACAACGCGATCGCCTTTGCAGATTTTGCCGCTCTCCAAAGCACTGCCGCCGGGTAACTGAAAACGAACACATCGCACAATATCGTAAAACGTCTCAGATTCAACGAAACTGTTCCATCAATCTATCCTTTAATGAGGAAACCCAGAATTTGTGTACAAAAATAATTTAATTTTTGCAAAAATTCAGTTTAATAAAGATTACGTAAATATGCAGGACATTTAACGTAATTTGACCATTAAGAATATGTCGCTTAGTTTTTATTATAAGAAATATAATTATCTTTTTTTCCGAGTTTTATGTCGATGCGACATAAAACTCGTCATTAGTGATTTCTGTAGCAGATTATATGTACTTTTAATCAATTTGGTGTCTTTTAGGTACTGTAAGGTTTTATTCATGTGATCGACTGAGATTAAGGTTAAAATTGGGTTTAATTTGTGTTGCACTTTTTGGGCTTGGAACTCTCTGCACTCAAATAGGAGGTGGTTGGATGTTTTACTTTATACATAGATTGCAGTTTGGTGATTCTATTTTTTTTTTCTTCAGTATGTATTATTCCTCTGTCATTTTACACTGTCCTGTTCTTAGTTTTACGAACTGTGACTCTTTTCTAGTTACGTTATGCGTAGTTAATTGTTGATAGAATTCTTGTACTATTTCGTGAATTTTAGTTTTCCTTGTCATAGTCAAAATTTTATTCCAATCTTTTTAGTGCAGTGGTGAAATCCTGGTACAGGATAGGTTTTTTAATTTCGTTTGCCTGGAGGTATGTTGCTTCTTTAACTGCCTTGTTAGCTTTTTCATTCCCTGTTATACCTTGGTGAGAAGATATCCATATATGTATTATACGTTGGTCTCTGTTATTAAGTTCGGTGTAAATCTCTTGTATGTTTTGTATGATTTTGTGTATAATCGGTGTATATAATTCTTTGTTGGAAATTGCTTTATTGTGCATATTGGAGGGCTTCGAGGACAGCATGTGCTTTTGATAAAGATTGTAAAGATAGATGTTGTCGTAAGGAGTCGATGTTTAATGTTTAAGCTGTTAGAAATTAATGCGAACCTGACTCCTTGTTCGGTTTTAAAGGCATCTGTATATTTATTGTCTACGTTTAAAAATTTAACTCTATGTTCCAGATTACTATTTAGTTGTTTTACCTAGTTCGGTTGTTTAGTTTTCAATATATTTATATATATTTTCATATATATTTCAATGATTTTTGTTTGTAATATCGAATCATATGCTTTCATAATATCAAAACATACTGTTACTAGATGTTCATTGTTTAAGAGAGCGTTACATATGTTCGTTTCAATATTGATAAGTACGTCAATGGTAGATCTGTATTGTTGGAAACTGAATTGCACATACAATTTGTTAGTGCTATTGGTTTAGGCTGTTCGCCTTGCTCGTTGCTTTTGTTTGGCTTGGAGAAAGTAACAATTATGGCTTCTTTCCATCTGTCAGGAAACACATGTTGTATCCATATGCAGATAGAAGGTAGTTTATTGTGATTGTTGGTAGTTTCTTAAGGAATAAATTTGATATCTCGTCTGAACCAAGTGATGAGTTTTTTATTGTTTCGAGCATTGCCTTGAGTTTTTTCAGTTATGTTTTTTCTTAGTGTGGTGTCTGTGATTTTTTTATGGTTGATTGGAAGCTGGCGGTAGTATACATTTATGTTATTTGAGTGTTTTGAAAAGATTTCAGCGTAGGTATCAGATATATCTTTTGTATTAGTTATTTGCCTGCCGTTATGTATTGATTTCTGTTCTAGGTAGTGTTTGGCATTTTATCTCTTTCCAGACCCTTTCTGTGGGAGTTTAGTTGGTTATGGTAAATGCGAAGGCTTGCCATAATTCTTTTTTCCTTTTTTTGATTATTCTCCTAAATTTTGCTCATTGTGTTTGGAAGTTTTTGGTAAGGTTCTTTATGGTTGGTTGATCTTTTGCTTTATTGAATGCCCGATCTCCTTCCTGGAAGCTTGGCATTCGTCATTCCACCATGGTGTATTTTGTTTTCTGATGTATCTTGCCTTTATTTGTCTGTAAGCTTCTTGTGTTGCTGCTTTGATGAGTTGTTTTAGTGATTCTATAACTTGACTGATACGGTTTGGATCTATTTCATGGTTTGTTTTCTGTTAAAGCACATTGGTGATGTTTAACTGGTATTTGGGCAAGTCCATTTTATTAAAGTTCCATTTTGGCGTCGGTTTAAATGGATGGTGATCGGTTTTGTTGTATCTCTATTTGTGTCACATAAGTAAATTTTTAACAGTAAACAGCTTTTAAACTAATAATTTCCTGTAACTTTAATGTTTTAGGACATATTCCAATGGATCCAATAAAACGAGCTGCATCACGTCAAGAATATTGTAAATAAGAAGTTATGGTTTCTTACCAAGTCCGATACATATGCCCCTTTGCCGCTCTTGTATCCCGTTAAACAGAGGCCAGCTCCTTTGCCGGATTTCTTTTGTAGTTCAACGTCAATTTCTTCTTCCGGCTTCTCATGCCGATGAACTTTCATCGCGATCTACGGATTCAAATTGATTCGGAGAAAATTATATCGCGAAGGATATGGAAATTCACAGTGCAAGGCGCAGAAGAGAAGAAAAGAACTACTCACAGTGCCCGAAACTTTCAGAACAGTTTCATGAGCCTTCTCGTGCTCGATTTCTTTGAAACTATTTCCACACATCTCGAGTATTTGGTCACCGGAAGCCAGACGGCCATCTTTGCCGGCTGCGCCGTCCGGAAACACTTCGATGATGAACACACCTTTCTGTAATTACATCAAAATATTATGCGAATCTCTATAAGTTAATGCAACTGTGAAGTTATATGCAGGTTCATCATACTTGTTAATCTAATTTCATTGTTAGTTATAACGTAACAATTATATCTTGCTCTGTTACTATTCCTTTATAATCGAGAATGCTTTTTTTTTACTTCTGAATTTATCATTAATTTACTTCTCGAGATTGTGATATTTGCTGGTTCGAAATTATAGAAATTTTGTACGGCCATACAAAAAATTCGGATCATAGAAGGTTAACAAGGAGCAAATTTTAACTCTTTGCATTACGATTTTTTAAACAGCTACATTATTTAGCACTTTTTCGTGCTAAATGATTTTCTTAATTTTCACGTCTTTATGAGACTGACTCTTTATTGTGCAAGGGGTTAATTTGTAAAATAATGTTGTCTTACACATGGAGTGTCCGATCCACCGGCTATTGTGAAGCCAATGCCTTTGTCTTTGTCTTTCTGGAATTCTATCGCTGTATCTTTTCCGGTTTGGATCTTGCAGTCCTTTGGATCTTGCGGTGGTTCTGGTTCTTTTGGTTTTTCTGGTTCCTTTGGTTTTTCTGGTTCCTTTGGTTTTTCTGCACTAGTTGCTAAACATTCGGACAAACATATAATCGCAAGCCCACACTTATTTAAATATTTCAATTTCTTATACCTGGCTGTTTAGCTGGCTCAGATGCTGGGCCCTTTGGCTCTACGCTCTTTGGCTCTACGCTCTTTGTTTTCTCCTCTTCCTCCTTTCCTACTTTGGATTGATTTGGATTACACACTGTAAGTGTGACAACACCCTCTGCTTTCTTCAATAGACTTGTAGCCTTTTTGTTGAAACAAACAAGAATATCGTGTTAATGTCTACAAAACCGATTTGTACAATAAGTATCTCTATAGTTTCCCCCGTTAAACCGGAATAAACTTTCCAATTTTTATATATATTTAATTTTATTACTTATTTGAAAATATGGAAATATAATAAATATTATAAAATGGAAATTTGATAATTTGAAATTATGAAAATATAATAAATATCAGAATTAAAAATTTTGAAAATATGGACATTTAATTTCGTTTTATTTAAAAATTTGAAAACATGAGAATTTAAATATTAAAAAGTTTGAAAATATGAAAATTTTAACATTTAAAAAGAAAACTTGAAAATCTCAGATCTTTGAAAATTATGTTTTCTAAAACATGATGCCTGTTGCAGATTTGATATAACAAAACAAAAATAACCTACATGGTCATTAGATATTCTTTCAATAATCATTTGATTGAATGTAATGATAGTTCTTTTTCAATACCTCGTCGTAAGTAGAACCCAACAGACAGTCCAAATTAACAGCCAAGATCAAGTCACCCACTTGCAAGCCGGCCTATAAGAACGCAAAGAAAGATGATTATGCATTTAGGAAAAAATACGTGCATTGTGTGTCGTATTTAATTAGTACTCGAGACACGCAGGGACAATTGTGTCGTCGTCGTTGTCGGAACAATTACCTGTTCCGCGGCGCTGCCTTCTTGTATGTCGGAGATGAATATACCTTGACCGACTTCCGCGTGCTTTCCTTCTATGATCATTATACCCAGTCCGTACTGACCCTGAAAAGGGAAACTTGCATGTAACGATGACAGATTATTCACAATTATTGTTACACTATTCGCGATTGTTTTCATTCGAATGGAACTTGCCTTCTTCACGGGCACGTTGCGTACTCCTTTGTATGTTTTGAACATTTCTGACTGTAAAGCAAAGTAATCAATAATACATATATACGTACATTATATTATATTTTACAAATTTCGAAAAAAAAAAATTATATATATATATATATATATATATATAAATAATATATATATACATAAATAATATATATTTAAATTTTATTAATATAATTTGAAGATTTATTAATATATTGACAACAATTTTCTCGAAATTTGCAAAATAGTCAGATTTAGTAATAATAAAAGAAATGAAAAAAAGGCCAGAGAAAACATAAAAAATGTTGTTTCTCAATGTTGACATTATTCTAACAGAAAATATATTATACAAATATATTCGTTGAGAAGATGATAAATTGCTCGTTAAATTTTATACATTTCTGTATATATGTATATTTTCTATTCATCGGTATAAACTAGTATTTATCGTTTCATTCACTGATATTATTTTTCTTAGCCAATTACAAAGTTTAATGCCACGATCGAATTATTTCCACGAATAATTGAGGTATAGAGAAAATTGTTAAAATCGCGGAATTAGGATTGCTTAATTAACACTCACGTCGTCTATAGTAGGAGGGAACTGGTTGATAGGTTTCACAGCGATGTTGTCAACGCCTGTTGACTTCCTGCAAGCACATTATTACATGTAATTAATTGAATATTTATCTACGTAAAAAAGTAACAATCGTGAAGATATACTTTACCGTAAAACAACAATTTTGAAACAAGTAGCAGCCATTCCCTTGATAATAGCCGACGCGTTTAGGTGACATCTTCCTTGGAGGACACATCCGTTTACCTAAAAATGTGAATGTTTAAAATTTATCAGTTTTATTTTTGAGTTTATCATGTTTATCTAAATTTGGCATAACGAAAGCTCTTCTATTTTTTTGTCTTAAGTTCTTCTATTATCTGAACATTTGTGACCCTTCATATCGTAATTTATAGAGTTATTCGGTATAAAGCAGTCTTCTTTGTATCGGGTTCCATTGAAAAACTGCATTTACAAAATAATACAAAATTATCTTAAACCTTTGCGCTGTAACAACAACTCAAACTTGTGATAAAAATAATCAACACATAATCAATATTAAATACAAATGTTTTCTTTCTCAAATTTTATTAACACTTTGACCGCCACGTCATCCATATATGGACAATAGAATTATTTGCCGAGATTTGAAAATTAATTTCTACAATAAAGTATTGCATCTTCATTAGGATCTATAAACGTGAGAATGTTAAAAAAGTAATTAATATAACAGAATTCAATTTTCCGACTTTAATTTGATTAAATGAAATATTTAGCACAAAGCTGAAGAAATTGATTTTTCTATTATCAAAATTTTTAATTGAAAGTAAGAAGACATACAAGAAAGAAAAATTGTCTGGTTCCATTAAAAATACATTATTAAGAATGAAGAAGTGCTAGTCAACGCAGAGTTACGAAAGAAATCGCAGCGCAAAGGGTTTAGAGCTGTGCGGTTAATGAATGGTTCGAAAATTCGAGAAAAAGCACGTCGAGGGTAGTTACTATAGTTGTTTAGTAACGAAGCACAGAAATACAACACGTCATTAAATATAACGAACGTAAGAGACGGACCGATATAGTCGTCTCTGTATAAGGTCAGACGGGCGAAGACGCCTTCATGAATAATTTGAAGAGCTCACAGTTCTCAAATCAATATCGAGGAGTGGATGTGGTCTCGCACCCAATTAGTACTTTCGTCGCACGGACATGAATGTCACCGTCGAATATCGATTATCATGCCAAAACGGGACAACTCCGCGGCACGGAGAAAAGTTAGGGCAATGGCGGTCGTACCTCGAGTATCTCATCACCGACCAACAGCTCGCCTGCTTTATGAGCCGAACCTTTCGGATTAAGGCCACAAATGAACACCGCCATTCGATTTCTGTCTCTGTGCCCGGCGAGAGAAATGCCCAAACCACGCCTATCCTTCTCCACTTTGACTAATAGCACTTTGTTCCCCATCCCATGGTACTTCTTCTGAACTTTCACTGCAAAGAAAAATATCGAATCGTCTTTTCTACACGTGCCAACCATTCTGTGAATTTTCATTTAACAATTTGAATAAGAAAAAATCTAGTTCAAATATTCGTAAAATGTACGAATATTTTATTTTTATTTTATTCAAATGCAGAACAATGCATGTTTGACGAAGTTAAATATAATTATATTTATTTGTTCTCGTTTTATTTTTATATTAATTGCTATATTCATTTCTATATTAGTACATAAAATAATTGTATACATAAGTAATTGTAGTTCAATTATACGCATACGATAAAGAAGAATTATTGTTATTATAAGTGACCTTAACCGTCAGTGATTTTATTGTTTGATAAAATAAAACAGTAATATAAAATAAAATATTATAATAAAATATTAAAATAATAAAAAAAATAATATCGAACGTGCATTTGATTGTTACCGTCGTATTTATATTTTATTATACGTGTGCTTAATTTTGGTTTCAATAGTCTTTGCTTGAAACAGATGTTTAATACTTTAAAACGAATCGTCGTACGTCAATTAAGATACGATTGCTTAATAAATATTTTCAAAACAAATTACTTACTATTCGTGTAACCGTATTCATCCTCCTTCTCAGGATCGGCTTCGATCTCCTGTTTCGTTCGTTTTACATTTCCAGCACTTTTCCTAGAAATCTGTAAACAGTCACCTCAACGATTCAGTTAATCATGTAACGATTCAATGTTAATCATTTACGCTAATTAAATTTTTACAGTACTACGTAGAGGTAACAATGTTCCTGACAAGTCTCGGTTGGCATATTATAATTTGCAAAAATTTGTTACATTCTTTAAACATTGACAAATACAAGGTTAAAATTTTCTAGTCACGAAATAAAATATTACTGGTTCAAACGATTGTAACTGTAGTAAAACATCTTAGAATTTTTCTTTCATTTTCCATCGTTCCTCAATCTCAGATTTTCATTCAAACAAGGCAATGATCTAACTGAATTGAAAACATTGTTAGCCTTGTTTCTCGATCATCAGAGTAGGATGACCGGACCAGTGAATGAATATTTGAGCTACATTTTTGTTGAAATGTTTATCAACAAATGTTTATTTAATTCATTTAATCTCGCGAATGATATTATTGCAAGCGAGCTATTTTAATGTGTACTACGTTTTTAAAAACGCAATATAAGATTTAGTGAAAAATACATCGAGTGATCGATGAGAGAACACAAATTTTTCATGAATGAATATACTGATATTGTACAACAAAATTTATCATAGTTTCAGTAAACGCGTCTTAAGATACAAATTATAGATTTCAAGTAGCGATACTTATTTAAAGCATATAGAACATCGTTTTCTAAGACAACTGCTAATTAAACAAATGAATCAAGACACAAATTATAAGCATAAACAAAATCGCACCTGCAAGATATCTGTAAGTGTGTATATTAAACACAATTCTAGCATTTTTGAATAATTATAGCTTTTTTTTTTAAGTGTAATCTAAAATTTAGTGAAAAAATACATTAAACGATAAATTTATACAAAATGGCGGTTGAAAGACATCTATAGATCTATAATAAAACTGCTAAATAGGGGAAAAGTATGATAAGCGCTATTTTTTCATATAATACGAGAAACGTTCGTTCGTTGGACCGGTCGCCTAAATAGAGTCTCGAAAAGATATAGATTCGGTGTATTTCTCGATCGATTACCTCCATGCCAGCTTTCGTGTAAATGTTTCCCTCGAGATCTCTGGTGTCCTCCTCGGAGCTCTCATCCGACGAATACTTCCGCCTCGGTGTCTTGTCTTCCGGCTTCGAGGCATTATCTTCCTTCTCCTCGCTCACCTCGCGCAGTATTCCCGGATTAGAAGGCGGTGACGGCGCCTTTTTCCGAATTGACTTTTTCATGGAGGATCTGGAAAGCCAATCGTCTCGTGGACTGTCTCTGTACGATATACAAATTATGCAGGTAGACCAATTGCGTTTACCTTCGCACACTGGATCCCGCGCCATCTGAAGCTCTTGTACTTTGCCTTCGGAAATCCGACCTCGAGCTGCTCTGTTTTTCCTCGTCTTCCGCTTTCCCCTACAATATGAATCCCGTCCAATAACATTCAACTTCACACACACACGCACACACACACACGAATCCTCGTAAATTACTGTAGAACCTTCTCCGATCGTTGAATTCTTTACAAGATTTTTGCTCAAACTTAATATACTTTGGTAAATTATATTTACCATTTTGAAATCTAAATCAATCCTTCTCGTAACTCATATTCACTTTTTGCAAATTTTAATTTATTAACCCTTTCGCAGGTTTTATTCATCCATTTCCAAATCGAATTTATCTTTCTGAAAAAAAAATGAAATCGAAAATATTCGAAATCTAATACGTATTTATTTACTTATACATAAAATAATACGAATTTCATTACAACACAAAATTTCATTGATCTTCAATCATTATTTATAACACGTTAATTTGTAAAAAGATGAATTTGATTTGAGAAAACGTTGATTTAATTTGCAAAGATGATTCGACTTACAGAAGAATATGAATTTCGATTATAATACCTGTATTATCCAGATCGTGTTACACGTGTAAATAAATCGATAAAAACTAGGGGTGTGTGGGTACCCGAAGTCAACGGGCACCTGGCTGTTCGGAACAGACTGGGAAGAATCGGGCGGACTCGGGCGGGTACTTGTAATATTCGGATGGTCCTATGATCTCGGATCGAGATCAAGAAAAAGTTTCAAGGGAGATAGAATTAAGATTATATAATATATATAATTCAGATTATCAAAGTCAATATTATATCAATTCAATATAATATAGTCAAAAATATAAATAGTCTAAATATATATAGTCAATTATATATTATAATATTAATATTATTTAATTATATATATTATAAATAATTTTAATATTATTTAATTATATATATTATAAATAATATTAATATTATTTAATTATATATATTATAAATAATTTNGTTTTTAAAAACGCAATATAAGATTTAGTGAAAAATACATCGAGTGATCGATGAGAGAACACAAATTTTTCATGAATGAATATACTGATATTGTACAACAAAATTTATCATAGTTTCAGTAAACGCGTCTTAAGATACAAATTATAGATTTCAAGTAGCGATACTTATTTAAAGCATATAGAACATCGTTTTCTAAGACAACTGCTAATTAAACAAATGAATCAAGACACAAATTATAAGCATAAACAAAATCGCACCTGCAAGATATCTGTAAGTGTGTATATTAAACACAATTCTAGCATTTTTGAATAATTATAGCTTTTTTTTTTAAGTGTAATCTAAAATTTAGTGAAAAAATACATTAAACGATAAATTTATACAAAATGGCGGTTGAAAGACATCTATAGATCTATAATAAAACTGCTAAATAGGGGAAAAGTATGATAAGCGCTATTTTTTCATATAATACGAGAAACGTTCGTTCGTTGGACCGGTCGCCTAAATAGAGTCTCGAAAAGATATAGATTCGGTGTATTTCTCGATCGATTACCTCCATGCCAGCTTTCGTGTAAATGTTTCCCTCGAGATCTCTGGTGTCCTCCTCGGAGCTCTCATCCGACGAATACTTCCGCCTCGGTGTCTTGTCTTCCGGCTTCGAGGCATTATCTTCCTTCTCCTCGCTCACCTCGCGCAGTATTCCCGGATTAGAAGGCGGTGACGGCGCCTTTTTCCGAATTGACTTTTTCATGGAGGATCTGGAAAGCCAATCGTCTCGTGGACTGTCTCTGTACGATATACAAATTATGCAGGTAGACCAATTGCGTTTACCTTCGCACACTGGATCCCGCGCCATCTGAAGCTCTTGTACTTTGCCTTCGGAAATCCGACCTCGAGCTGCTCTGTTTTTCCTCGTCTTCCGCTTTCCCCTACAATATGAATCCCGTCCAATAACATTCAACTTCACACACACACGCACACACACACACGAATCCTCGTAAATTACTGTAGAACCTTCTCCGATCGTTGAATTCTTTACAAGATTTTTGCTCAAACTTAATATACTTTGGTAAATTATATTTACCATTTTGAAATCTAAATCAATCCTTCTCGTAACTCATATTCACTTTTTGCAAATTTTAATTTATTAACCCTTTCGCAGGTTTTATTCATCCATTTCCAAATCGAATTTATCTTTCTGAAAAAAAAATGAAATCGAAAATATTCGAAATCTAATACGTATTTATTTACTTATACATAAAATAATACGAATTTCATTACAACACAAAATTTCATTGATCTTCAATCATTATTTATAACACGTTAATTTGTAAAAAGATGAATTTGATTTGAGAAAACGTTGATTTAATTTGCAAAGATGATTCGACTTACAGAAGAATATGAATTTCGATTATAATACCTGTATTATCCAGATCGTGTTACACGTGTAAATAAATCGATAAAAACTAGGGGTGTGTGGGTACCCGAAGTCAACGGGCACCTGGCTGTTCGGAACAGACTGGGAAGAATCGGGCGGACTCGGGCGGGTACTTGTAATATTCGGATGGTCCTATGATCTCGGATCGAGATCAAGAAAAAGTTTCAAGGGAGATAGAATTAAGATTATATAATATATATAATTCAGATTATCAAAGTCAATATTATATCAATTCAATATAATATAGTCAAAAATATAAATAGTCTAAATATATATAGTCAATTATATATTATAATATTAATATTATTTAATTATATATATTATAAATAATTTTAATATTATTTAATTATATATATTATAAATAATATTAATATTTATTTAATTATATATAATATTCATAATTGATACACATATAAAAATGTATACAAGTGTCACATGTATATAGGGTGGGTCAGAATTCGTAGTACAATCGAGCAGAGGGTGATTTTACGTGAAAAAGTAAGAAACAAATTTGGTATAACCTATTTTTATCCAGTCTCCGTTTACGAGAAAATCGACTTGAAAGTTTGTTCATCTTTGTGAAGGATTTAACTGTTGTTTATTCGTTTCCCTCAGTTGTCTCTGTCCGAGATAATGTTTACAAACATTGAAAATGATGGAAAAATTCGCGCGCGGTTTGCTGCATAGGTCGCAATAAATAACGTTTGTAAATACTACCTGGGACGGAAACAACTGCAGTCGACGACAATCAAATCCTTCACAAAGGATGAGCAAACTTTCTATTTTCTCGAAAACGGAGCCCCGAATAAACAACCGTAATACCAAATTTTTTCACGTAGAATCGCTGCTTGCTCGACTGTACTACGAGTTCCGACCCGCTCTGTATATTATTTCATTAATATATGTAATTTCAAATGTAAATTTTCCTTATTCGAAAATATAATAATAGCAACTCGAGCGAAATTAATAGCAGAAAATGTTATAATATATTAAATTATCTTCTTTGCATCATTATTTGGAGTGAAGGAACGATTATATTTCAAAACAAAAAATATATTTATGTATATGTATAATGAATATTATAAATAATTTACTTCTATAACGCAATACAGTTCCATCCTATTCCTCTTGAAACCGTTTCATCTCAGCCGGAAATCGTTGGGCTATCCGACATCATTGGGCTCCCCGAAATCGTCGGGATATCCGAATATTTAATTATTTTATACCCGCCCGACTTTTTGTAAGCCCGATCCGAGCCCGAAATTTTGCGTACCCATTCGCTCCTAGTAAAAACATAGGAAACTGTTTAGCAGTGACCAGCCACGATTCACTGTCTCCAAACGCCTCTGCACCCTTAACTGTTTCAGGCAAATTAAATTAAAATTTTGCAGACGCATTAAAACTTACTAATACGTTTCGACTCGCGTAAATGTTTGTTTTCGCTTATCGACGCATTCACCGTCAGTTCATAGCATTGTCAACTAATTGAAACATTAAACTGTATAACTATGAGCAACTTCGACATTTCCAAGTAGGTTAAAATTGCAATCGCAGCATGCATAAACAAAGCTGAACAGAAGGTGGGACTAGTCATTAACCTATCGAACCCCAAGGAGTTAAAGAGATACTATGAATGAATAACTTCCACTTCGCTATAGTACTCGATGAAAGAATCCTTCGAAAAGAAAACCGACAGTCACGGTACCGATAACGCGGAAGGAAATTACGTAATTTTTAAGTAACATTCACTATGGAGTTCGCGACATAAGCTAACAACTGTATTACATTCACTGTTTCCAAACGAGCACACGAGTACTCAAATTACTACTAAGAATTCACAAAGAATGCACTTGAATGTAACAACACCACCAAATGGATCGTTCCTCGAAGAGAAAAGCGACTTTCATGACACTAAAAACGCCCGATAAAAAATCGGTGCAATTTTTAAGAAATACACATTCTTGAATCCGTGACAATAGGACGCGACTTATATTGTATTCACTGTTCTCAAATGGGCACTTAAGTACTGAAACTATCACGAAAAATTCCAAAAGAATCTACAACGTAGCAAGAGTATATACCGATCGACGAAAACCTCCTCGGAAAATAAAAGCGATTCTCGCGTTATCAATTCTCGCGTTTTCAAGAAACGCGAAATAAAATCGTGCAATTTTTCGGAGATATACATTTGGGAATCCGTTGCAATAGGAAGCGACTATGGTGTCCCAATGGACGATCTTCGCATAAACTTTGTAGAGCGTCTGCTCCATCTTGGCTCTCCGTGACACTGAACCGCCGAACAACGTGTTCATCGTTCGAATCGGTCGGCCAAGACAATAACTACAGTGGAGCCGCTGTCAGTCGAGTAATCACGAGCAGGCTCAGTATATAGCGGATCCACGATTGTGTACGTATTAATTCGACGAGAACGATCGGACAGAGGCGAGATTATTTAAAACTGACGGGAAGCGCGCGGGCGTGGGAGCGGCCGCGAACGCACGCGGCGGCACTGTTTAAATCGTAAATTATCGCGGCACCGGTATTGGATCGAGGCGGCCGGTTGGATCGGATCTTGAGTGCGCGACGAAATAGACTGACGGGATCGGCGAGCTTCCCAAAGGGTTTTCCTGCACACCCACGTAACCGGCGAGCCATAACAATCGATCCCGTGCCGCCGAATTAATTTACATCGAACAGAATCGAACGCCGCGCCGCCTCGTTCTCCGCTCTTTTCCGCCCGTTTTACGATCAAGGCCGCGTCCGCTTCTCTTCACGATCGCCGTGAGAATTCAATCCATTAGCTAATTATAATTCAATTGACCGGCTTTCGTCGCCCGACCGACCGACCAACCGAACGAACGAACGACCTTTGATAAGAGGTTACCGCACACTTACCGGAGCAACCTGATTTTTTTTTGTTTCAGTATTGTAATCGATTGTCGAAACTATATGATCCGGAGAACTTGAGTGTTCAGATAACGGGGCTGTCACGTGATTGGCGCACTAGGCTAAATCTTCACTGATTTCTGCGATAAACAGAGCTGTACGAAGAACGATTTAGATCGATCCAGATAATAAGAGAGTGATTATTGTTTGAAATAATTTCAGTCTGTTAAACAGACTTCGATTCATTTCGAATTTTCTTGACTAATAATTGATATATTATAAGTAATTATAAATTGTTGTGTCTACAACGATCAATCGTTCTATACTGCATTTTTGATAATGTCTCATTATTTTGGTGGAAATATAATCTTCAGTTTTAAATTTGTTACAAAATAGATGTTTTTAGCACATTGCGTGGTATACGCGGCCTGAATGGAAAGTTTAACGTGTACCAGAGGTGGCACACGTGGCACGGTTGGTACGTGTTAAATAACAAATTATTTGTTATTTGGAAGTTTAAATAAATTATTTAAAGCAATAAAATTTGTTTCTTACTTACAAATAGAATTTGAATCATTAGTTATTAATTATCATGTAATTGCTTGTTATTTATTATTTAACCGGAGCAACGCGTTAATCATACGTCATAGTTAGGAAATAATGGTTTTCAATCGGTCTAAGTGATATCATTGAATTCGCGAAGAAAGACGCAAGTTCTTTCATAACAATAAATGGAAAATAATATTTATTAGACGATAAACGAAAAAATAAAAACGAAAATTACTTATTATTTGATTTTTGCCTAAATTCGAGCAAAACATGTTACTTGCAAATGAAATTTTAATGTAATTTGTAATTTGTTATTTATTATTTAACATAAAATTTGCCCAACTCTGATCTTTATATGAAATAAAAATTTCTCTCTTTAATCATACAAAACAGAAGTTAGACAAAAATGTATTTCTTCTTTTACCGATATTAATACAGTCGAATCAGTGCAACAGTATTGTTTAATTCTCCTCGTTTCTTCACTACTCTGCGTTTCATTTTCGCAGTCAACTTATCGACAATAAATTAAACTGTACAGAAACGATGATAATCTTTCACACTGAATATTTTGGAAAACAGGGTTCCAAACGAAATGATGCATTTTGATCATTGGTATTCTTCGAGTGAAATTCTATAATGTAAACAACACTTGCAATCTGATGTACGTATGCAAAACTATGATACTGTTAAAATCACAATTTTTGCAACGACACACTCGGTTGTTTGAGCTTTCACCTATGTCAGTTAGTTTTACATACACACACCGACTACGCGTCGTCCGTTTGAATTTCGTTTCCGTGACAGGCGAAGGTTTTTTTATTGTTTCAGCCGTGTGAAATCCGAGCATTGTTGATAGAACAGAGAAACGATCGTTGAACCACAGAAATATCTACACACGCACACCGGTGTCCGAAAGTTTGCCGAGCGTTATTACTTCAAAACAAACATTGCGATCTTCAGTCAATGAATGTAGCGTCGAAAACGTTATTCTCTCATAATTTGAATGCGGATGTTTATGTTGATTTGTGAAGCTTGGCATCGGGAAGCCTAGGTACGCGGAATTTTTAATTTTAGAGTTTATATAATACCGCACGAGAGAGAAGCTTTCCATACTTCCAATTATAAACTGTTATGCGAATAGAAATGTCACATTAATAATACGCCGTTTAAAACGATCGAGGAGTTACCACAAGTCGTTCCCGGAATCAATCAAGCAGAGAAAATAGATTGACATTTTGATCGCGAAAAAGATTGAGTTCAAGGTAGTCATTAACGCGTTCGCTACCACCACTTGTTTTGGTCACAGTCCTCCAAGTGCAACCAGTCATTGTCGCTAAAGTAAAAATCAGGGAACGTAATTAATATGAAAAAAGTTGTTGCGTAAGAATTTTTAGAATGTTTTCAGTTATAAGCGATAGCTGCACGCAACCGAAATTCTTGTTTCTTTGTTCATCAATCATTACTGCTGACATAAGTTTATTTGAATTAGTCATAAGTATATAAACATTGGATTTTATACATTTATAATAAAAATAACTGGATGAAGTATAAAAGGCGTAAACGCAGAAAAATTTACGAACATTTAGAAATGTTCGTAAATTTGCAAGATAGATCTTGAAGTGAAACACAAAACAGTGATGATATCAGAAAAATTTGACAAATTCGTTATATTATTTAGAACTGGTTAAAATTATTCAAGATGGGAACATGTACTTACACAGTTCCTGTTTGTTGCAACGAATAATTCTAATGAGAAACAGAATAAAAAACAAAACAGAATAATTGTAATGAACTATCAGAATTATCACAGGCGACCTAAATAGAATTTCTGCCAACAATAATGATTATCGACAACGAAACGAATGTTCAGCTATTGCGGTTGTTCAAAAATTGAAATCCTTGAATCATCTGCTCAATTTCTTTAACATGTCGCCGTCGGTAGCTTCGACTTGGATAATAAACACGATTCTGTGACCGAATTATTCACAAAAATTTGTCAATTAACTGTTAGTTTCAGTGCCTGGTAAAAATCGTTTCGAAAACGAAACCCACTGATCGCACAATAGACCATCATTTGACATACATATACACGGTATTAAACGAATTTCGTTACACAAAAGTTCACAAAAATCCGCATCTAGCGATGGGTCAAACACACTTAAACAAACGAGTTTAAGTTTAGAATCTCATAGTGGCTTAAATCACATTTTCGAAAATTCCAACTTACGTCTCAAAATGTAATCTGTACAGTGCAAAAAATGTTAAAAAGACAAGTAAGCTCAATTCCAAAGTTACTATAAATCAGCTTAACTCTAAATTATCTTAACAATTCAGTCGGTTAGTAAACAATACAAATGCTAGTACATAATAATACTTTGATCTTCTTATAACTAGGAAAATGTGATTTATGCCACTCTTCTTAATCGATCTTCGGCTTGGAAGCAAAAATGGACAACGGTTATTTTATCATTATGTACTCAAGCCTTGCGTCTCGTTTTCATAGTTGTCGACAATCGCTAACTATAAAAACGTGTGCCGCGAGACTCTAATAATCGTATCTTCTCCTCCCAAATGATCAATTCTTGCGTATAAACTGAGGGTGAATTAGGGTGAATTAGGGTGAATTTACTGTATTACATTTACCCCCTCTTGAATATCGCTCCAGTGATCAAATGACTCTACAGTCTACTAGAAGAGAAACCTAGATGACCCGTTTTCATGCATGGTCTGCGTAAAACGAACATTACCATGACCAACGACACAAAACGGTCTTATCTATTTACTACTCCTTATCGCGTGTACACGAAAGGATTAACCTGCTCCGAAATGAACACATAAACAACAGGCTTGCTCGCGGAAGTGTCACGCACACATTGAGCGCCACTGGCGTAGCACATCGGCCACCTAACACCCGCAAAGACACAAGAGATTCGCACTTAGCCGTGAAAGACGGGCACTTCTGAACAAACAATTCCAGAGCCGGTTGACGAGTAGGAAGAAGTCTCCGAACGACCGGACCAGAGGAAACGACCCACCTGTATCGCTTCCGGCGTGGTGGACCTGACTGACGTGACGGGAGACTTTTCCTGACGATGGGTTGGCGTAGCGGGTGCTGCTTCACTGGAGGGTTGACTCCTGGTGCTTTGTCTTCGGCTTAGTCTGCCACTGTCCTCGCTCTGGCCGCCTTCGGTCTCGTTCTGGAAAATGTCCAAACGTTTTATCGCCGCCTCCGCATTCCATTAGGAATCGGCGTCGAATCACCGGCACCCAGAAAATATTGCACGCCTCGATGTTTTTGTTCGCGAACTCATCTCCGACCGTTGCGCGTTACTCGGAAATAGGCGCACGATACACTCTCCGATTATGATACTGTAATTACAGTAAAATTTTGGTACGAGGCTCGAGTAATCGTGTCTCCTCTTCCCACATTATCCATTTCTGTTAACATGTTAAGCGACAATTGGAGAGAATTTATTGTACATTTCACCCATCTCTGTTCGACACTTTCGGAGAACTTTTAACGCGTCTTGCCTTGCTATTTCGCTCGGATACGTTCGGGTCAAGAGTGCAGTGGAACCTCGATTGTGTATTTGTATAAATGAATCGAAGGGACATATAAAGATAATGGGGAAGTTGCAAGCTTGCTTCCTTGCAGGGCGAGATCAAATCCTCGTCGCGTTTAACACTAGATTTACGGAATTCGTCGAAATGACGTGCACCGATCATTCTAATTTACGATTATTGAAAGTGCCAAGATGCGTTTATGCGGAATTTATTCAATAAATATTTCACACATTTCATGTATATTACGATTGGTCCGCGGACTTTATGCATCATGGAAAAATTTGGAGGTTATAATTGAAATTAGTGTAAAAAGTGAAAGCATATTACGAAATGTCTCTCTCTCTCTCGATACATTATTTTTAATTTATTAAATAATCTATTTAATCTATATATTTTATATTAATCTATTTAATCTATTTAATCTATTAAAACTTTTAATCTCTAAAATTAAGGATTTCTATTCCCTGCAATCGATGCAGAGAATTTTTATTTTGCATAAAATTCCGCAGTCTATTTATGATCAAAATGGCTAAAACTGTGAGTAAATATATACCGGTTATTTTTATGGTGCAGTATGAAACAGCTGATCTTATTTAGTGCTCGGTAAACTTAGTGTTAAATGCCAGGATACATTTGTCAAATGAACGGATTTAAATATCGGAGGTTCGCACTTGCCGATCTGTGATGTCACTAGATCATCGTCACTGTGAGACAAGGGTTTAAAGGCGCCCCTTATGATAAAAACGAATCGAACACTTTGCTGTGTCTTGAAAGAGGAAATGAGTGAGCTTTCTTTCCGAGAAACGTGTAACGGTGAAGAAACGTCGCGTACACTTGGGAAACTAGTGTCGAGCTTTTAGAATTACATTTTGTCGAGTAATCGTTACTACTAGACTCTGACTCTTTATGCACTTATTGGACTCGCGAATTGTTCAAGTAGGAGAACAAATTCACGTTCATCGATCGATAAAATCGATTCATGATTTTTGATTTTACCGTTACTGCGGTGTTACCGTAAATGATGCTTTATCAGTTTGGTTTTTCATTTACTCGCTACGAGATCTATGGATTTCTTAAGATTTTATTGTAAAATTTCGAAAAATCGTGGACGTGTTTCCAAAATCAGGTGGGATAAAATTCGGAGAAATCGCGAAGTCATTCCATCGCGTATATTTCCGTACAACTGATAGGAAGAACGTTGACACGTTAAATGCCACATGAATCACTATGGGTAAGACTAATTAATAATAAGACTTTTAACTAGCTTTTGAAGTTCATTCTTGTTGCGATATCTATATTCGAACAAATTGAATGTTACTGGGATTTTTGTAATGCAAAAGAGTTAAACTAATAGTTGCCGCGGTAAATTTTAACTATCCAGTTTCGGTTTCATTAATTAAAACACATTGATATGACGGAAATTTTTCGAATTGACATTCGGCACTTATCGTGTTAAACGCGCTTGTCTCAGGGTTAAATTGATCGATCGGCTTGAAATTTGGACAGAATCATCGGCGAACATGTTGTCATTGCGTAAACCACGGTTTTTAAAGATTGCTGTTTTTTTTGTCACTATAAGAGTGTCTTTTGTATTATGTTATTTTTGTATGGTCAGAATCGTACACATCAGCAAGACACTTATCGACACAGAATAACAATTTTGTATATTCCAAATTAAGATAGAGATTCCTCTAAAAAGATCCGAACATGTACAAGAATAACATACTGAACCAAAACAACCAGCAATTTCATTTTACACTTTTGCTCGTATGAAACCGAGAAGATCACGTCGTCGAGCTTTAATCGCATAGAAGCCACGGGTCTAGCGGTCCCGATGAATTTCTCGGCGACTCGACAAATTAGGCAGGATGTGATTCAAGCTGTGCAGTATTTTCTGCGATACCCTAATTCGATAGACACACGGCGGAACTCACTGTCACCGCCGATTCGAAACTGGCGAACGAGAAAAGGAAGATGGACGGGTGCCGTTATCGCGATGGCCTCCGCGGGTGGGAGCAAATCTTAGGCGTGCGAACCTTTCGTGTATCGAATCGGCACGCGGATGAATTAGTCGGATAGCTGGTTGAATTGTTGCCAGAACAACCGTAATTTAGCTGCGTGACGCGTCCGATTCCGCTGCCATCGGCAATAACAGTGAGTTGCCCGCTGCCTCCCACCGCTGCGCTGTTCTTAGGAATGTGATTAACACGTGTTATAGTTGGATTCAGGCTCGCACGAGACTCGCTATGCGTTCCACAGACTGGGCTCAAGGATCTTGGACGTATAGTGGTGCTGTTATGCTCGTTCTAGAGTTGCAATCGAGCCTTGAAACGGCTCGGATTTTAACCCCTCGCGGAACGAGAATCTTTCAGGGCACTGAAAAACATTGTTTTCGGAGAACCGGATCTCACGGGGGAACCTTATTATACAACGTGTTCGTTTGTAGACTTTAGATGGAAATATCTCGGAGACAACACATTTCCGAAAGAAATGTTAAATACGAAAGTTGCTCAACTCTTTAAAGGGCGAAATAGAACTACATTGGATTGGCAACTAAGTTCTCCCCGTTAATTTTTTTAAAATTTTAATATTCCGCGTGTCATTAAATGTTTTTAACACAATGTTTTAAATGATTCGAGAAAGGATGTTTTGCTCTACCGGAATCTATTTTTTTTTTGTTCGAGTTAATTTATGTTAATTTTCAGATCATTAAAATGGAATGTCGAGTTGAGAAAAATGAGTATTTTCGACACCTCAATCTTTCAATAAATCTTTTCAATAAAAATTAACGACTAATTAATCAATAATGTATTCTCCCTTGTTGTTTACAACATCTTCCCAATGTTCAACAAGATTTTCAATACCTCGTTGGTAGAAATCACCCGGTTTCGACTCGAAAAATTCATCCAACCAAGCTCGATGATTTTTGTCGTTGTCACTTAAAGCGTGCGGAACACACGCTTCACTCTTCTGAACCTTTTCCATTGAGTGAAGATGCTTCTCTATAGCAATGTGGGAGCATTTCATTTTCTCTGCCAGTTCCCTTGTCGTTTGACGCGAATTTTCGCGCAAAAATTGATTTAATCGCTCTTCATCGAACTCAACTGGACGGCCAGAACGAGGCGCGTCTTCGAGGTCAGAATTTCCATTTTTCAACTTGGCATACCAATTGCGAGCGGTTCTTTCAGCTATAGCACCCTCCCCATACACAGCACAAATGTCACGAGCAGTTTTTGCGGCCTCAGAACCTTGATTAAAAGCAAAAAGAAAGAGGTGTCGAAAATGCTTATTTCTCTCAACGTGACATTCCATTTTAATGATCTGAAAATTAACATAAATTAACTCGAACGAAGAAACAAGAACATAGATGCCGGTGGAACAAAACATCCTCTTTCGAATGATTTAAAATATTAAGCCAAAAACATTTAATGACATGCGGAATGTTAAAATTTAAAAAAAGAAACGGCGGAAACTTAGTTGCCAACCCAATACATTTTATTTGAATTTTTGTCTTGGCGAACGTATTTAAATTCGTGTTTCGAATTTTTGGAAAATATCCGTTGTAACTGAAACGTTTGTTAAGTTTTAGGACGGCAACGACGAAATATTGAAAATAAAATGGAACCGAACACTTGAATTCTTGCAGGACTGATTCGTATTTCGTCGACCGAAAATTAGCATATACTCGATGAAACCGAGGGATTGGTCTCGATCAAATAGATGCAAGTGGCAAGGATCGAAGTTTCGTATGAGATAGTGACGGAACCTTCGATAACCTAGAGAGTTTTCGGTAACCTTGGGACATTGTTCATCTCTCTGCGAGCGGTTGTCCTAAAACGTTCGTATTCGATTGCTGTTACATCGAAGGGATACGGTAACCCGATATTTATGCTGCAGTTTCCCCGTTTGCAAAAAGAAAAGAAGAATGTAAAAGCACGTGGAAAATATGTATTTGATTAAAATAGATGCAATGTCTCGTCTCCAAATAAATCTATACGTTTATAATAGCAGCAACTTGTGTTACATTCGTTACGTATAATACTTGTTAAATTGCAATTAGAAATTTTGGAGTATTTCACGTGAAATTAGGTGAAAATTGTAGAAATGATTTTCACCGTCGCGAACAACTTGATTATTGATTGGACGCGCTTCGACTACACAAAGCCGTCGAACATTGTGAACGGTTCAATGGCTATGTGAACTTCGAACGTCCTCCAAGAAATTAGTTAAAATATTGGATTAGCCGCGAGTGTCCCCGATACTGAGTCTTCGAGACTTAACGAAGAGTGGAAGCATCCGAAAGAATTAGGTGAAGCTTATAATGAAGAAGCAGTCATATGGAGGGGAAAAGAAACAAGTTCAGTGCTATAAAATCAGTTTAGAGTTCGGTGAAGAGGACGGTAAGGAAATAAAAGAAAGATGACAAAACAGTGAAATAAAAGCATTATTTTCACTTATAAAGAGCGTTCGGTGTGATCAACGAAGACGAAATTCGAAAGAATCGTGTAAAATATTAAATTAGAAAGGATTATCGACACTTTGAACGAGTTTCTGATGATTCAACGAAGTGTGCCTGCAAAATCCACGTTCCGACGAACGCAAAATATCGGAGTGAAGTGCGACGGGAAAGAAT